CAATATCAAATGGTCAGTCCTGAAAATGTACATATGACATTATACAGAATGAGTAGCTTGGATTTATGTATTTAGGATTACACACATATACACATTCACACACACATACACATAAATGTACTTGCAGTTAATAAAGAGGTCATGAATTTGAAAAAGCAAGAAGGAGGTATATGGGAGAATTTGGAGGGAGGAAAGGGAAGTGGTAAATAAGCTAATTATATTATAAACTCAATATTTCTGTGTATCTCTTTTGTAAGAAAATAAAGCATACCAGGAACTGTCATACTTGTGTAGTGAGTTACATGTACTGTAGGAGGTACTCTAATCAGATATGGTAGGGCCCATGAGTAGTTGTCAGACTGAACTCATAGAGCCCAGTTAAATTTTTATTTCAGTTAGAAACAATGCTCTTTGTTACACTGTTAATATTGTTGTACAGTATATAAATTATTTGTTGCTAATCTGAAATGCAACAACTGAGTTTTCTATATTTTTGTTTTATAAAATGGCAATTTTAAGGAAGCAAAGCACCTTGTTTTTCGTGGTAGTTAGGTCAGTGCTAATTGGGGGAGGGTTTTGATTAGGGCTATCAGCTGTAAACAGCAGAAACCTGGTCGGGTGAACTGCAACAGAATCAGTAGGAAGCATGCAGAACCAGGCTGGGGAAGGTAGAAGTCAAGACAGCTGGGAAGTCAATGGCACAGCCAAGATCATATGAGGGAGGGGCCTGGTTTGGGAGATGCCTCTGTAGTCTCTTTTTATTTCTGCTCTCAGTTCTCCTGCCAACAAAATATCCTCTGAACTTGGCACCTCTAAACTATTCCTTCAAGGTTAGCAGTTCTAGGAGGGAGCATCTGAGAAGCTTGTCTGGTCCATAACTCAGTAGCCCCATAGTTCCCAAGGAGGGGACAGAGGAGGAACGCTTAACCTTGGTTTCTAGGAGTTGGTGTCTGTACTCTATCAAGACTTAAGCAGTGGGAAAAGATTCCCCAAATAGGAAGGAATTTTAAATTGAAGTTTTAACACAAGAGGAACATAGACTATTTAGATTTGGATGGCCCCCTCAGAAGCATGGGAGTTGAAAAGAGGCAGCATGAGCTTGTGGGAGACATGAATCTGCCTCTCCACCTACACTGGCTTCGTGGGGGCACTTGGTCTCTTTGAACTTCAGTGTTCTGAAAATTGGTGATTTGTAGATTTTTAATTTAACCAGCCAGTAAAATTCAAAGGTAATTTTGGAGATAGATAATTATTTTGTCATTTTATTAAATGAAAATGTAATTTAAAAAGCAAGCTACCATCATCATCTTATAAAATAAACCACATTTTCACTTTAATCCCCAAATAGGAAGAATATAATATCAGCATATTGATGCCTTCCTTAGTTGAACTTAGATTTTAGGGGAACCTGTTCTGTTAGCTCTCTCCTACTTTCTAACTTCACTTGGATCAATGAGAGACTATCCAACAACAGTTATGCCTGGGAGCATCAACTATGGCTTTCGAAGTCCTTCCCAGGATTAAAATTCCATCAATTACTGGAGAGAGGAGGTTTTGTACAGACTTGTGACATTACAAACTATTCCGTTTTAGTCCCTGGGTAACTTTTGTTAGATAATCTTCAGTGCATGGCAAACAGGCTACCTTTAATGCATTTAAAACTCTTGAATGAATGGCAAGAGGAAGCCTTTGGGACAGGGGAACCTACCTCTCTCTGTTGCTTAATGTTACTGTTTTAGAAGTGACCAGAGACTTTGGCAGTGAGTATGTTTCTATAAATCTTAAAAATCGATTAGCTAATCAATATGTCAGGAGGGCCGGTAGATGTGCCCACTTAGGGGACTAAATGCCTCATCCAGCTCTGCCTTTCTCGTTATTGAGGCATTGATAAACTGAGGCTATACAGAGGATTATAGAGATAACTATTGTCTCATTTTTTTTCTTCCCATCCTTAAAAAAATCATGCATTTGAGGGGAGCTGGGAATGAGGACTTGAGTCAACACATGTTGAAGGAAGGAAAGTATAGAAATAAATACAGAGAAATACTAATGAAAGAACCATTCATTGACTGGGCATAGTACTCAGTAGTACACCATACCAGAATGAGGAAACCTTTGACTCTAAGAATGTAAGTTTCTCACATCAGGGACTGTGATGAGGCCCCTTTCTGCATGTTCAGAGCCAAGCAGAAGGAAGATGGAAGGGTTTAGTTCATCAAGGTAAACTGCCTTCCTTAGGGACTTCAGAATTTTGGTGGTAGCTGTTTACATGCCTGCAATCTGTTATTCTGTTCTCCTCTGTAGATTTGTAGTCATCTTGGTTGGCCCCTTTCTTCCCCTGTTCCCCTCCTCTGTGGTTGTCTTTTTAAGATTTCACCCTGGAAGTCCAGTTTGCTTTCCTCTTCGTGCCAATGCGCTGGTTCCACTGTGTGCCTGTGTTGCTCATTCTAATGGTCCAGGTGCCATTCTCTTTAGCCTGCTTAGAGGTTAGCTAATCTTATCTCAACTATCCGTTAAAATGAATATTTCACTCACATACCCCCTCTAAAGTGACCTATGGCTGAAGAACATTTGGTAGTCAAACCACCATAGCTTCCTCATGATTCATCCATTCTGGACACGCATGTGTACACATGTGTACAGAGATTGGGGCAGTTTCTAGGCTTTTGTTTTGGACGGTTAATAATTATTCATAGCATAGATAAAGCAAACATAAAGTGACCAAAAGGAGGGCAAATTATGTTCATGATCCTCTTTAAGAAATCATGATAATTTATGTTTTCACAAACATCTTTTTACTCAGTACAATAAATAATTCTGTAAATGTCACCTTTTCCTTTGACCATGGATTCCCTGAGAATCCATGTGTTGTGCTGGACTCCTTTCAAAGGCGGGACTATGGAGCCAGAGCCATTTTTACTAGTGAAAAATAAGTGCTGTGACCCAAAACTTGGTAAGTCCAGCTGTAGATTTTCATCAAACTCACTTTTGCTGCTTGGGGGGGAAATCATCATCAAAATAGTTTTTGGAATAATTTAATGACACAGGTGTGTTGTAGGATATTATTTTAAGATTTGTTTATGCTGTGGAATATTTCTTTAATGATGCACAGATGTATTGCATTTTTTGTGTTGTATTTGTTTAACTCTGTGAAGCTGTGTTATTTTGCCTGTCTAGCACACTGTGTTGGTCTAATAAAGACATGAATGGACAATAGCCAGGCAGGAGTAAGAATAGGTGGGACTGGCAGGCAGAGAGAATAAATAGGAGGGAAATCTGGGGAGAGGAAGATTGAGGAGCAGAAAGGGAGAAGGAGAGGAGGATATCAGGGGTCAGACACCCAGATACACAGCCAGCCATGGAGTAAGAAGGAAAGAAAGGTATATAGAAAAAGAAAATATAAAAGCCCAGAGGCAAAAGATAATGCCAAGCTAAGGCTGGGCATTCATAAGAAAAAATAAACCTCCATGTGATTTACTTGGGAGCTGGGTGTTGGGCTTCCAAAGAAGAAAGTAAAAAAGAGTCAAAGAGTAAGAAACAACCAACTACACAGGTGACCATCTTCTAAGCCTAAACTATTGATTCTTAGTCATGTTTTCTTTCTTGGCTTTCAAGTGAGTCTATCACCATTTTAATTTTGGGATTTTTTAAAAATAGACTGTAGTATGAAAAACATAGGCTAATTCTAATTTCAGGAGAAATAATTGTTTCTTTTGCACAATGATGTTTCTTTTGAAACAATTCTAATTTTGAATCATTAGCACATAGACTATTTTGCCAAATAAAACACTTAGAAGACGTGTGGAATACAGGATAATTGAGTTTAAATAATGACTGTATTTTTAAAGAACCCTATTATGCCCTAGCTTCATAAAGTAGTTTTAGAGTCTTCTGTATGGAAAGAAAGCTTAAAATGGCTCTGGTTGTTTTGTTGTTGTTGTTGTTATTTTGTCTTTTTTCTTTCCTTTAAGCCACCAATGAAGCAGAGGCATCAGTGTTTGCTCCTTTTAAAGTCATACTTGGAGCTTGTTTCTTTGGCTGTGCATTATGCTACATGGGCACTCAGACTTTGGTGAGGCTGATAAATAGATCTCCACGCACCTTAAACATTTTCTGAAAGTCACCAAACATAGGAAAATTTGAATTTTAAATATTATGGATTTAACTGGCATTAAAAAAAAGAAAGATGGCTGAGCAGTGGTGATTCACTACCTTAATTCCAGCTCTCAGGAGGCAGAGGTAGGCAGATCTCTGTGAGTTCAAGGCCAGTCTGCTTTAAAAAGGGAGTTCCAGGACAGCCAGGGCTTTTACAAGATGATTCTACCTTCCTTTTAAATAATAAGTAAATTACATAATAGAATTAATTCATTTCTCCTACCAGTATGTTTTAGATGTGTAAAACTTGTAATTTATTCATGATAATACATAGAGCAGCATAAAGAGGTCTTCTGGCAGAGCCCTGGACAGCAACTGGCTCCCAGCTGGGCAAAACAGCAGAGTGCAGGGCTTCTCAGCTGTGTCTGCGCATTGCCGTTTCATCTTCAAGCATCTTGTTTTTGGGGGAGACTCTTCTTTTATTCTGGTAGTCCCGTGGTGCTGCTGTTGTGGGGTTCCATGTCCCACCTAGACAAGAGTGAGCATGTGATTCCAAATGCTTGATTTAAGCACACCTTGACCGAGTACCATTGTTTATAGTAAGGAGCATGATTCAACGCTTTGGGTGGATAGAGGATCAGACTGAGAATAAAGCCAAGGGAGATAGGTGGGTGACAAGACTAAACCAACTGTGTTTGACATGTGCACGAGGACTTCCCATTGAGTTATGAAACATGGTGTCTTGTTTAGTCAAATTTGAGTTGTATTTCTGTAATATTCAATGAAAAGCCTCCCAATTAATATGGTATTTCCCTTTCTCAACTGTTGGGGTTCTAATGTACACTTAAATAAATGCTTATAATGTGAGTGACACACCTGAGTACAAGACATAGTTAGCCCCCAAATTCATGTCAAACAAGTCTTTATTTTTCATGGTACAAATTAAAAGTGACAGATCTGAAGCTGTTAAGAAATACACAAAGTGCAGCTTTACCGACCATACAGATATTGCTCTAGATTAAGTACAGTTTTTTTTTAAACATTAAGCAACCTGTGCAGATAAGTCAGCTTTGGTTTCAATGATAGAACAAGTAAGGAGCTTTTCAATATCCAGTTTGGCTTCTTGGTCACAAGTCTATCATGTCAATGTCTCGTCATGATGATTTTTTTCCAGAACAACCCAGTCTTTTCCTGCTCTCTCTCCTGCTGCCTGCTCCAGGCATGGAGAAGCAGATTTCTTTGCAGTGCCTCATTAAGTGACCCTGGCGACCAGTCTAGATCACAGCACAGAGGACGAAATAATTAAATATAAAACAAAAAAAATTCACTTCTCAACAACAAATGAGCCAATGTGCCTCACATAATTTCAAGGTGAAGACAAGCAAATCACATGACAAAAAGCTCATTACAAAATATTATCCAAACAGATTTTACAGTCAGACATGGAAATGAAAATCAATTTCCTTTTTCTCCATTGTTTTTATGCTTGATCATTAACTGGGTACAAGTAGAGTGCTGAGGTAAAACATTGATGAACAGTTTGTGATTTTTTTTCTTAAAATAGGAACAGTTTAGTATTGCAAGATTGTCAGCAACATTTAGCCATCTACACAATGTGCATATACCTACACATACTGAGCTTTGGTCCAGCGTAGAGAAGAGAGCAAAGGCAATTGGATTTCTTTTTGGTTACAGCTTGAGTTCTTTGATACGCCTCTACTTGTTTTCTTCTGTTTCCCCCAGCTCTTTCTGCTTTTTTTTTTGTTCTCTTTTGTGTTGTGTTGTGTATGTGACTGTGTGATCACGACATAAAGAGTCCAAAACTTGCAAAGGCAAGTGAAACTTTTAACTATTCAAAATATCTTTTTGGTTGAAAGAGAAAACAACCCCCACAAGCAAGTGTAAAATACAATATTGGCTGTCATTTTTCATCAATGATGAAGAAAATGAAGATGATGACAATTTAAAAAATGTGAGAAAGATTACAGAAGCTTGAAATACAATGCATATGCCCAAAGTGGCTTTTATTTTTTGTTGGTGGCAACCTTAACCTTAACCTTCAGTTCATGGAAACATAAAAGACACTTAGATGCTTTTGGCATATGAAGTTGTTTACCAGAGGAAATAAGAAATGTCTAATAAAATTAAGCAGTAGGTGTGGTCCTGAAGGCTTGTGTGTTCCCAAGTACAGTTTATATTCCTAAGAATCTGTTCAGGCATCTTTTTTGCCTTGTAGCAAAAAATTCATCAGTAAAAAAATCAATATAAGAAGCATTACAACGCTATATAAATAATTTATAAAACAATACAAAATTATAAAACTATAAAAAAATCACTGCACATGAATAGTTTTACAACCATGGGATGAATTCATTTCTTTTTTTTGTCTACTCTGGGTGATTACTTTTATTTTATATTTTCACTATTCTATTTATGCTCTCCCAATTTTAGATCTCAGAACTTATCAGGCCTCATGTGCCTGCTGCCGGTTCAGATTTAAACATTTAGCATCCGTCATATGTTATCTTGTTAACTTCTTTTCTTGGGGAGCTTTTCTTGATGGAATTTGGAGCAGGTCCTAGGAGAATACAAAATCTGTTTTAATCAATAAAGTTTTCTGTTTCTGGGTTGCTGGTATCTGTGCAGTTTTTGCAGTGGTGAAATGCTACCATGATGTTGTTGGCACTGATCGGGCTGGTTGTGGTCCAATTTGCATCAGACTGGTGGCATGGAAACACTTTTATTAATGCCTCTCTCACTTCCAGGATTATTGTTACTTAGTTTCCTTGTTGGGACTTTTATGATTGCTGATTGAACCAGCTAAGGGGACTATTACATTGTCCCATTTTCATCACCAGCAAGGGAGCCAACACAACAAAAACCTAGAACCCCTGGGTGGGAGGAGTGAGGTAGGGGAAGGAGATGGTATTTGTAATCAACTGGGCAACGTGAGGTGGGGTTTTGCTTTACCTTTCATGATTTGCCTTTGGCAGTAAATGAGCATATTTACATTTTGACAACAAGCAAATTGATGATTCTGTTTTGCATGCTTTGCTAGAACCCTCTACCTTCACCTGGGTGAAATTATTTGTAGATTCTAGGAGTTCCCTTGCCCTTCCATACTCCCTGTTAGTCCATTCTGTGGGCTTCTTGGGTTTCATGGGCCATGCCTTGGGGGTGCTCTTTTAAAAATGAGTTAATATGCTGGTTTTAATAGTGAAGGCTTTTCTGATATGTTTTATGATCTGCTTCTGTGTAGTTTTCCTTTCTTGGAGAACCTTTGTTGCTACAACTTTTCTAGTCAAAAAGTCAGAGCCTAATTCCAATTGCCCCATTTACATATTCCAAGAGCAGCTGCACCCTAGCTCCAATCTGCCAACACTGTCTGACAAGGTAAGCTGAAGACAAGGTAAGGCTAGCAGGGTGTTTAGCAGCCCCTAACAATCTAGGTCACCGACATTTTCTTTGTGGCCCGTTTCTTTGTGTGAGGTGGGTGGGTTTGAATGTGTGTGTGTGTGTGTGTGTGTGTGTGTGTGTGTGTGTGTGTGACTGGAACCTTGAAACATTTCTTTGGCTATCAGACTTCTGAAAGAAATTGCTTTGAACAGAAGCAAAACACGGATGCAAGTATTGAACCATATGTGCAGCTTATGTTTATATTACAGAATTAGTTTTGATCAGCTCTCCTCATGTGTGGCTAGCAGACTGAAAAACATCGCAATCTCTGGTGGGGCCTGAGAGCACAATCACTGCCTCTGCCGGTGCTGATGTCACACAGCAGAGCCCTGGCTATTCTGGAGCCTTTCCTGCATCTCTGCAGGCTCAGAGTGGAAAATCCTACTTCTGCTACCTTCTAGAAGATTCCGGGAGCCACATGAGAGGAAGGTGGAGAAATAAGGAAGAAAGGGAGGTGTGAGCTCCATTTTCCTTCTTAAACCTACAACTCAGTGAGAAGAAAGCCATGAATGCTTTGGCACACAGTCCAGGTTGCCCCTCCCCACCTAAAACCAAACAAAATAAAAGGAAATAACACAATCCGTGAAAAAAATAAGTACTTCTACTGCTAAGAAGCAAATTGGTAGAGAGTGAGCCATATAGAACGATTTCAACAATGGCGCCCGCCCTGATGGCAGAGACCACAGGTGAGAAAGATGGGAGAAAGCAGGCTTCCTACTTTTCTGTTGGTGCAAATGTAAAAATTCATAACACAACTTGACACGCAGAGGCGAGTAGACGAGCAACAGCATTTGCAGTGGTTCCGACTTTGGTTAATAGGTTTTGCAGTGGTCAGCACTTAGTCCCTGGAGGGATGCAGGCTCTCCTCCAGGGGGCAGGCTTGCATTCGCTTTGAACAGATACAAGTTTGTGATGGTGGGTTTTGTTTTGTTGTTTTTGGTTTAGTTTTTTTTCTTTTTCCTTAAAAGGTGTTCACATTTTCATCATATACAGAAAAAAGTAAGTGGATATTTGGTTTGCTTTAAAAAATTGGCTTTAGGGAGACAGCTTGGGGAGGGGACGATCCTACCACATACTCCTTCCATGTGGTGTGTTTCTTGCTTAAAAATTTAAAATTTCCTTTTCTTTTTCCTTTTGGAAAACCAACGGACATGTATAAACCATTCTGCCCTTTTGGTAGTTTTTTCTTTGTCTTTTTTAGTCTTTTACACACAAGAGAGATGATGACTGGGGTGTCTTTAAATCCTTTCTTCTTTCTTCCTTTCTTTGTTGTGGAGATCCAGGGTCGCGTTTAGTTTCTGTGGCGCTTCCGAACTTCTGACCATGGACGGGAGTGTCTAGCAGTTCTCTTCAGGAGAGTCCGCTAAGGGCTCCAGGGGGACTGCCGAAGTTGGCTCGTGTTGCTTTAAGCGCTTAATTGTGTTCTTCAGGGCTTGTCTCTTATTGCAGAACCAAACTCTAACTACTTCCCGGTCATAGTTTAGCTTCTCAGCAATCTCCGTCATTTCCTGCCCTGAGGGGTGTGTGTTCTTCTCAAAGTGGGCATTGAGGATCTCAAGGGCCTGGGGTGTGAAGGAGGTGCGCCGCTTGCGCTTTTTGGATGGCTCACTCCCAATAAACTCCGTGAGGTTCTGCATACCTGCTCGATGGCGGGCCTCAGCCTCAGCCATCCACCGCTCAAGCACCGGCTTGATCTTCTGGGCACTTTTAGGGGTGATGTCCAGCTTTTCAAACCTGGCAGGATACAAAAGGCCAGGGTTCAGTTTGGCTGTCAGACTGCTAGCTATAGTGTTCTCTTGGGCTTCCTGTGGTAGGAAAAAGTGGCTTCTCAGGATGGTGTGTCTGGGGGGAGAATTGAGAAAGAACAGTCTTACACTGAGTCCTCTGCCAGGGTGGGCCTCCTGCCTGCCTGCCTGATTGCCTGGCAGGGTGAATTCACTCCAGATTAGCAGCCAGCTGCAAGGTAGCCAGCCCTGTCCCAGCCAGCACCCACCCTCCCAGCGAGCCCCATGCCAGCCATGCAGATCCCCAAGCACATGGACAGGGGAGGGGAAAATGCACCGGCAGGCATCCACTATGGAAACGCAAGCATCTCGAAGGCCTTTTCTCTCTGAACTCTGAGAGCTAAGCTGCCTTTGCAGTGGTTCCCAACTCCATTTCCCTAACCTTCAGAATTCTTAAGGCAGAAATTAACCAAGAAAGTGGTCTTCAAGATAACAGTTGTCACATTCTTCCACTTAATGGCCGTGTTTTACATTTGGCTGTCCTCTCTATTGTGTTGGTTTTGAAAACTGTTACAGCTATTATCATAGTCTGGTATGGTTACTTGGCTAAGCTCCTCTACCTGCCTCTCTTTTTATCTCCCCTTGTGTCTTATTTTAACTTCTTTCTCCCTGGTAACAATTTTCCCCATATGTAAGTTAACAATATCCCTCCCTGTCCAGGTAAAACATAGACCAGCTGTCACTTTACAGTTCTGGTCTAAACAGCTGGGTACATTGTAATTACTCTGGAATACTCCACCCCTAGGTGGGCTTAGGCCACCTCATGCCTTCCAATCACCATCCAGTGTAATGGTGCACTTTTGTATGGAGCATCATGCTGTGTTTAATGTGGGATATCTGCAAACTGTACTTGAATGATATCATTTTCTGTAAATGAGGTCTTCTATATATCAATTGCCATCAGCAATTCCTTGCTACATTTACTTTAAAAAATATGAAGCTTCCTGGACAAAATTACATAGAGTGTTTTAAAAAGTTCTTCTGGTGCTAAATTCATACTGTCAGAGAAATATAAAAAGGGGCCAGTTCTTATGTTCATTTCTCTTTATTCTAATTCCAAATTCATGTCCCTCCTATTGACAACAGTGAGCACAGACTTTCTCTTTTTTAAAAGTTCCATGTTGTTGAAAAGCAATCACCTGGTGTGTTTTAAAATGCTTGCAAAAGGATGGAACAGGACTGCCTTCCTCTGCAACAGGATCTGAGTGCTGGAGTGTATCTGTAGATCCCTTTGTTGAGATGAGCAGCACACATTCTGCCAAGGGTTTAACTACCACGCAGAGTTCAAAAAGGAATTTGTTTACTCTAGTACTTAGTATTATTAATGAGTTTGTCACCTGTGGCAGCCTCCCCAAAGTTACCTTGGTGACAACTTGCCACCTTCTGCATTTTGTCATCCTTCTTCATAAAAGCCTGGGGCTTGAACTCTTGATAGCATCAAAACTGGCCTCAAAGGTCGTGGCACCAACAGACAGAGCTGGTGAAAGAGATGTCTGGTGTATCAGTGTCATCTTCCTTTTGTACCTCTGATAGGAACGCTCGCAGTGCATCTAGGCGTCACTGCAGCCAATTAGCACAGAGTGACCTCTCAGTGTCTTGAGGCTTATTAATTAGTTAATTAATTTGGATAGATATCTTCTAAAAAGCATCACTAAGACACTGGGAATGGGATAAAGGCCCCGAAGTACAGGGGTCTGCTCTGTTAAATGATAATAACATTTCAAGAAGTCTGCATTCTACAGTATTTATAGCTTCCTTCTGGGGGAAGACTTAAGAAATCAGCATATCTGATTGGGGATGCCCAGGAATCCGTGTGTGTTTGTATAAATGAATTGAAACATTTGAGAGTACTTCAGTCAATAAAAGAAAATCACATTTTAGGGCTAAAATAAGCCAAAGAGGAATTTAACAACAATGGCAAATTGGCATCAAAATAAAAACCTGTGGCTGCCTTGATCACAAGGCACCAGGACCAAACAAAATTAATGTCTCCTGACAGGGAGAGACAGTATTCCCATCATTGATGCTGCTTGTTAGCGTTGATGTTTCTGTACGTGTTGTTTGGAATAACGTATACAAGCCTTGATATAAATTTCCCAGCAGTAGTATCCTTGTATAGACTGAATAAAGGTTATTTTCTACAGGGAGGTATCTTATAAGAAAAAACAGTAGGGGAGACCATGGAAGTGAAAGGATCCTATGGTGCTTTTTGTATTTAACAACAATCAATGAGTTTTATGGAAAATCATTGAGCAAAATGTGAGCTGCAAGCTACCACCCCATACTGATGTTATTTATAACCTTAGTCTTAAACTGCAGGAAAAGTACACTTCTGTCCTTTGGGGAATACATTAAAAGTATAAAGAGCAGATAAAAAGACAGCATTTCATGGATCACCAAGAACAAAATCCACTTAAATGAGTTTAGAGTTGGTTTCTTGGCTGTTCCTGATGGAGGAGGATTCCTAAGGCATTGCCCAAGAGGAAAAAGCTCCTACCGAGTGCCTTCGTTACCTCATGCATAAACATGGGATTAGTGCAACACACAGACATGCGTGGGGGCTGCTCCTGAAGACTTAACCCAGATCAACTCAAACACAACCAAGGCTGGATTCAGTCATTTATTTAGATGTGGAGGGAGGGTGTGGGCACAGTTAGGCCAGATTCACTACCCATTTATAAGGCATTTAAAAGTTTTTTTTTCCCTCTACCTTCCTTTCTGCTTAGAGGGATGTGTCTGGGCAGGCAAGTTATAAAAATTCCTCCCACGAGATAGGGAAATTTGCTAAAATGTGTGTTTCATGGGAAACCTTGGAGCCATCTCTGGGAAGTTAACAGTAGGGTGAACTACTCTGGATGTCTATGTGTGGACAGGAGCTGGCATTCTCATCTGGCAGGGGCATGGAGAAGAAAGGAGATCCCTGCCCAGGGCAACACATTTCAACCTGTCAGCCTTGGAAGTTCTTGGAGTTGATAGGAGTTAGGAGTCCAGGACCCCGCAACTCTACATTGACACCCCATTTTGCATCAATATCACCAGTCCCAGCACACAACTACCCCAATCTTCATTACCACGCTCTGTTCCTCCAGTTTGCCCACCCAAAGAAGAACTGAGCTGCAAGAACGAACAAGGCCCGGGCTGGCCAGCGACAGCATGCAGAGCCCGTTACCTGCAGATGGCTGACTGGCTGTATGCGGGGCCCTCTGTGGCACTGAGGGCTTGTCCCACCTGAGTCTGCGTCAGGCCAAGGGACAGGCGTCGGATTTTAAAAGCTTTGGCAAATTCTCGAATCTCCTCCAGATTAACCCCGTCCACCTCACCCGATGCCGTTTGAGGATCTGTGGAGATGTTTTTAAAACAGGATCAACACGTCAACACACAAGCTGTCAGTATGTTTATCACTGAGCAGCCACAGAGCGACGGAGAAACCGTCGCAGCGCCGTCTTTGTCTCTCATCCTTCAGCACATCTTCCTCCTTCACAAACCATCCTTCAATGACCTTATATCCCAGATAAAGCCACTCCTATTTACCCTGCCACTTCCCAAAGCAAGAACACGCTTCTTTGGGGCTTAGCAGCAGCTGCCAGCAAGGGAAGGCTCTTGCTGGGGGGACCCAGCCCCACCTTGTAGGTAAGCCCATTCATATACTGTGCAAAAACTGTAAACACAAGGCGGTTTCTGTTTGAAACGTCTTAATTGGAATTCTCCATGTTAACAATTGCCCACGAGGGAAATGGCACTTTGTGGTTTTCTTTCACCTGATTGCCATGTAGCCAGCCTAATAGATGGTAATCTCGCCTCATTTCTTATGTTCGCATTACCCCTCAGAAGAGCATGGTTATGAAGCTGTGAGAATAATATTGTCTTTCTTCCCCATAGCGGTTTACCCTCACAGCTGCCTTTGTCTCCTGAAAGGGCACATAATAAAAACTGCCTACCACAGGAAGGCTCCTTTGGTGCCGGATAACGCGGTCAATTTAGGACTTATCAAGGGAAATGACACAACAGCTGGAGAATGAAACTTTCTCCCCCCCTGGCTACTGATCCCTGGATAAATGAAAGCATTCACCAAGCTGGAGCCAGCATGGGCCGGGCCTGGGGAGAGATTTCAGTGCGGCTCAATGCTGCCTGTCGCGAAGCCAGTCTGGCTGCCAGCATCTCTATTGTTGTTCACCTCCGTCTTCTGACTTAGCTGAAAGTTGGGCTTCTGCCTTCTGCACAGCAACCCATCAATTCCAGTGCATTTCTGCTCTTGTCCCAGGGCTGTGGTAGACTGTGATACTGCTCTGGGCTCAGTGCTACATACTCTCTGGCTATGACTAAAAGAAACATTTGCATCCTAAGTGACGATTTTTAAAATGCTTTTAAATAAGGAAGATGGTATCTGGGGAAGGGTCTAGAGTACTGTGTATAGTTTCTCTCAGTACAGGGTGGGGTGGGGTGGGGGGGGAGTGATCCCCACGGGCTGTGGAAGAAATAATACAGGTATACATTAGATATTTATCTTCACATTAAAAATAAACCTCTGGCTAGGTATGGTAGCAAGTATGTGTGGCATTGAAGCAAGAGGAGTCTTGAACCCCCACCCAAGGCTAAACAAGGCAACTCAGAAGGACTGTTTAAGAAGTCCTTAGAATTTTCATAGCACTAGTTCCCATTTCATCACAGAGAAATTAAATAGTGGATTGGCCACAGTTCTTGGGATATATATTAAATTTCTGATTTTTGTGTTTCTATGAGATCTCTGTGTGTGTGAATGTGTGTCTCTGCATCTATAACCATTTTTTTGTGATTTTTGTTTGGCTTTATTGCTTCTGTTTTCCCCTATTCTGGTTCGTTTGTTTTTATTTTATCATTACTTTGTAGATGCCTGCTTGTTTTCTAATAAGAGAAAGAAAGGGCATGGATTTGAGTGGGAGGGGAGGTAGGGGAAAGTCTAGGAGGGACTGGGGGAGGGAATACCATAATCAGAATATATTATGTGGAAAAATTTATTTTCAATAAAAAAAGAAAATACAAAACAAAACAAATGCCGGTAGTGTGTGATTCAGCCCTAGATATGCAGAGAAGGGAAGAGAGGGACAGGAGGGGTCATCTTGCCAGAGAATGTAAGGGCTTGCTTTGTGAGTAGAAGGCACACACAGGCTGGAGAAGGAACTCATCCAAGTGTTGAACAGCTCAGGGCAGCACACTTACAGCCTGTATGTATGTCAGGGTTTGGTGGATTGTTTATAAGGCTGGTTTGGATAAGATTAATTAAAATCCATTTTCCTAACCCTCAATTTCCTTCTAGAAATCTGACATTGAGTTAATGCAATGTTTTTGAGTGTTTTGTGGTGGAGACTGTCCTTTGAATTTTAAATTCCACCAGCAAGGTAGTGTGGAGTGGCTTTCAGGGCTCACAAAGAATTCTGGGAGACCACATCTGTACACGTGCCTGCCTCCAGCTCTTGTCTTATTTCTTCATTAAAACAATCTCAGAATCGGGAGCTGCAGTGAGTAATGCAGAAGGCTCACACATATTTTGAATTACTTGCCAGCAATATAAAAAGAGGTTTTAAAGGAAAAGCAAGAGTTTGATGTTCTTTCCAGTGCAGAGGATCTGCATTTTCAGTGGCCGAGCCCAGTCACCCGGAACTGATTCTCACTGTCCCTCAGCCTCTTTTCTTCAGTTCCTCTCACATTTGCTGCCTGTACAAGATGAGCTGTTTGAATCTCAGTTTAGACTGGACATTCTTGCTGCTTGGTTCTGGGGCTTAAGCAGGAAATTCTGGATGACACAGTGGCTGTGGTTATCAAAGAGGACAGGACACAAACAGGACAGATTTACAGCATACCTATGTTAAAAACAAACAAAAATTCCTCATGGTGGAAGGAAGAATTATTAGGATTAGGAGAGTTTAAAAAGTCTACTTGCAAGATGAGAGAGGCACAAAAATTAGTAGCTGAGGAATACTGGTTTAGAATAGAGGCCGGCATTGCCTAGTACAGAATGGTACAATGAAAGGAAAGATTGGCCTACTCTCTTCCAAAGATAGTGGAGTGTTTGGCAGCCTTGCAGGTAACACTGGACACTCAAACACTCAAAACTCAAAATGAAAGAAAGAAGAAAGAAAGAAAGGAAAAAGGTCAGAGACTTTCTTTCTACAGACATGGCTTTTAGAATGGTGCTTTTCTTAATTTGACAGGCTTGAGTCACCTGGTATGGCCGCAGCACATTTTACAGGTGGTATAGGTGTTTTGATGCAGTGGGGTGGGTGGTCTGCCTGCTCCTGCATGCATGTCTCCACCTTTTTCTTCCAACTTGTCTGAGTCTGGGTGTGGCATCCTCTTCATGGAACTGTTTTTCTGAACCCATTCATGCTCTCATCCGCAGGTGGTGAAGATGGTTTGAGGTCAGCTTGATTGGAACCACAAGAGGAATCTTCAGGGCTCAAAGTGGATCCAGCAATTCTAGCCAGAAATCTTGGGTAGTTTCACTGGATAGAGGAAGAAGTGGTGGTCCTTTTGTAGAAGTTGTCTAAGATTAAGTAAGCCCTGCACACAGAATACAGGCCAGGAAAGAATAGCAGTGATAACCAACGTCCACCTTAAAAGTGGCCATAGCACTGCACAGGGTATCATGTAATCCTGGCTCTGTAGAGGGAATCACCAGGGATTTAAGGAAAATTGGACTTGGACGTTTGCAGTGACTCAAAAGCATAATAACAGTTTCCACGTCAAATCTAGAATGCTAAGATTGAGAAAGCATAAACCTTTTTATGGAAATGAAACGCAAGCTGAGTGAGAACAGATCTGTTCTGTGGACTCTGGTGCATGGTGTCTGGCCTGTGTGGAATTGTGGGCTTGGGATACACCAGGACAGGACAGATGTTTCTGTGGTTCTGTTTTTTGTTTTTTGTTTGTTTGCTTTTCTTTTGCTGTTGTTGGTTTCTTTTTGTTATTTTTTCGTTTTGTCTTGCTCTTAGCCTTGATATTTATGTGGAGTGTTACTAAGCAATTGAACATTCTGCACATCATCATCATCCTGCTATGATCCCTGCTTACAGAATTGTTAGAAGCATGAAATGCATCTTTAATGAAGTTGTCAAAAGCATGAATGAAAATTTATTAGTTTTTAATGAATGAAAATCTTAAAGATACAGAACAACCATCATCTTTCCAGCATCTTCTCACAGCAGTCAGTGCTTACCCTGTAGTTCTAAAAAATGAGAATCCATCAGAGAATGAGAACGAGGTTTGGGAGAGGCCCTTGCATCACGACGATGTCACTGGCTGTATCAGAGATTTCTCTATGCTTTAAACTGTCTCCATCTTTAGGGTTCAGCTGTAGTTTTGAGATAGTAACTATCAATATTTTGCCAATGGCCAAGCTCACAAGTTAGGAGTTTCTAAACAGTGTATGGAGAATAGAATTAAAAAAAAAGCAGTCCTTCCCCCCCAGCAGTTAAAACCTCAAATCTACCTATTTGAAATTAGTCCTTCTAGTGCCATCCATTTGCCTGCAAATTTCAAGATTCCATTGTTTTTTTCTGCTGAATAGTACTCCATCGTGTAACTGTACCACATTTTCTCTATTCACTCTTCTGTTGAGGTGCATCTAGGTTGCTTCCAGGTTCTGGCTATTACAAATAATGCTACTATGAACATAGTGGAACAGATGTCCTTGTTGTATGAATGCTCATCTTTTGGATATATGCCTAAGAGTGGAATTGCTGGGTCTTGTGGTAGGCTGATTCCAATTTTCCTGAGGGATCTCCATACTGATTTCCAAAGTGACTGTATGAGTTGGCACTCCCACCAGCAGTGGAGGAGTGTTCCCCTTTCTCTACACCCCCTCCAGCATAAACTGTCATTGGTGTTTCTGATTTTAGCCATTCTGACAGGAGTGAGATGGTATTTCAGAGTTGTTTTGATTTGCATTTCCCTGATGGCTAGGGATATTGAGCACTTTCTTAAGTGCCTCTCAGCCATTTTAGACTCTTCTATAGAGAATTCTCTATTTAGTTCTGTAGCACACTTTTTAATTGGATCCTTTGGTGTTTTGGAGACTTGTTTCTTGGCTTAAGCACGGGGATCCTCAGAACCCATGAAAAATGCAGGAGATATTGCCTATAATTGTAACTCCAGAATGAATGCAAAGATGGGCAGAGATGGGCTTTCCAGAGCAAGGCAGTCAGTGAAACTACCCATAGCTTTGAGTTCTGGCTTTGGTTGAGAAATCCTGCCTTACTGAGTAAAGTGGAAGACCTGTCAAGGAAGATTCTGGACATCAACATGGTGTCTTTACTCTCTCTCACCCCCCCCACGCATCCATATACAAGTGAACATGTATGCACACACACATGAAAAAATGTAAAAAATCCAGCATTATAGAAACACTGTCAATCCATGAGAGCTATGAAAACTGAGCAAATTTAAGGGAAGGGTGTCAGGACTACAGGGTTTTCACAGGAATGTTTATTTGGTTATTCTAACCTCAGATGAGGAGTTCATCGCTCACAAATGTCATTTGATTATTACAAGGGATCAACTTGGTTTTCTTTTGCTTGGAGTGAGCCAGACATTTTAATACAAATTTTTAATCTCTGGAAGGTTGGACAACATCTTTGACAGTGATGTGGAAGATTCACTAACTATAACTCTGATCAAAGTTTGTGTGATATTGTCATATAAGAAATATAACTCTCACCGGGAGGTGGTGGCGCATGCCTTTAATCCCAGCACTCAGGAGGGAGGCAGAGGCAGGCAGATCTCTGTGAGTTTGAGGCCAGGCTGGACTGAAAGCCTCCAAAACAATACAGAAAAACCCTGTCTCGTAAAACCAAAAAAAAAAAAAAAAGGGAATATAACTCTCAAAACTCTTATAGTGTCCTAAGTAATTACAGGAATGCTATGATCCTTACTTGAATATTTCCTTTTGGATTCCCAACACAGACCTTCTAAACTCCTTGGAATTTCTTGGATGATAGGAACATATTTTGTCCTAATTAAGTGACTACTAATTGGCTCCTGGATAGCTTAAGGAAGTGGTTGATCATTCAAAAAACAAGCTATGATAGTCTAGGGGGAGACAGGCTAGAGATTGAGAATTATCAACCATGTCTATATGGTCAAGACTTCCACAAAAATCCCAGAACTACAAGGCTGAAAGAGCCTCTGGGCTGCACAACCATTGTGTGTGTGTGTGTGTGTGTGTGTGTGTGTGTGTGTGTGTGTGTGTGTGCATAGGCTCTTGCACGTTACCTAGCCCAGCTCCACAGGGTCAGAAGTTCCTGTACTCAGATCTTTTCAGACTTTACTCTGTGCCTCATTTTCTTCCCTACCTACAGCATCTTTCTAGTCTAAATTATCTATGTTGTTGAACAATCATGTTTTATTTTCCTTTGGAGAGTGTCACTTTGTATATCAGATTTGTCCCATTCTTTGTGAAGATCTCCACATTCTAGCTTTAACGGGCCCTTCTCTTTATCTCCACTGACACAAGCATCCTTATTTTATGGCCTAAATGCCTATGCAGTGACTTGGCCTTTTAAATCCATGACTGTTGGAATCCTGCTGAATATATTTGTGTGTGTGTGTGTGTGTGTGTGTGTGTGTGTGTGTGTAGTCTGAAAATTTAGTAAAAATTATACAGAGGTAAGTAAATGATATTTAGTAGGCCCGTTGTCCCATGCATCTTCATATGCTTTTGTAGACTGTCATAACCATTTTCCTGTGGAGACAGCCTCCAGGCTTGTTTTATTTTGTGAATGGTTGTTTGGAGATTTCCATCTGATTCCAGTCCGTGCAGCAGCTTCCATGTGTCACAGAAGGTGGCTTATTGTTCACTCACACACATGCCCACAGTCATGCTCTCCTTTATTTCCTCTGACACCTACAGACAGAATGGCAGGGGACTTCAAACACACAGGAAAGCAGCTTGACCTTCTGGCTGAGTGCCTGTTGTTGGTTATTTCAGCTCAGAGCTGTTTGCTCATGCCCTGCAAGCTGATCAGTTTCTAGCTTTGGAAGTGGCAGGTCTGACTCAGCGCACCGAAATCCCCTGAAAATGGAACCTGCTCCCAGCTTGCACTAACACAGGAGTGTGTTGTGGGGGCCAGCTGCCCTAAGGAGTCATCTGGCCTTGGACACAGGCAGCATTCCAATTTTGGCCTAGCATCCCTAGAAATAAGCAAGGGAGGAAAGACAGGGTGGCAGGGAGGGGCGAAGAGAGGGAAGGAGGGAGGGAAGGAGGGAAGGAGAGAGAGAGAGAGAAAGAGAGAGAGGAGAGAGAGAGAGGAGAGGAGAGAAGAGATTGCAACAGGCAGCAAGAAGGTTACCATGATTAGATGGAGCAGGAAGGATACTTACTGCTGACTAACTGGCCCACGCTCAAAGCTGAAGAAGAGGAGGATGAGGAGGAAGAAGAAGAAGCCTGTCGCACGGGACTTTGAGATGTGGATGCTTGGCCATGAGCCAGGTGCAGAAGGTTGCCTTGGGTGCCTGCTTGACCCACTGATGACTGGGAAGATTGGTGAAGCTACACAGGGGATGTAAAAAAAATACAAAAGTGAATGGAACATTATGGGAAATGCTAGGGAACAGACACTTCTTTTGGAGTTGAATCATTCTATTTTCATGAATACAGGGTATACTTCTTGGGAAGAGCACTATACCCAAGCAGGATTTATTTTTTTGTATATGTAATATGGTGTTGCTTGCTTGACAGGCACTTTATTAGAAATTCTAAATATATTATTAATTCCCTATTTGGCTTGTCAGAACATCCAATTTTTGACATTTCTCAGTCGCAGTGTGTGGCTGGACACTTTTCTGCCTGTTTACACAATTACCACACACCTAGGAGGCTTCTCAGGCTTGTGTAGGATGAAACAACACAATTCAAATGCAAAGCTCAAACTTAAAGTTGTGCCTGTCTGTGCCCATCATTCACAGAAATGTTAGTTTAGGGGAAGCGCCAGTTAGGCTGGCAGCTCTGTTCTCCCAGATTCAGGGTTTTGGGTGTCTTATACAGAACCATAACATACTTTCCGATGACCTCTAGAAATCTGACAATTGGAGCAATCAGGACAGAATATCCCATAATATCTGCAGTTCTCATTTGCTACTTTTTGCAGGTGAGGGATTAAGACAGTGTTTCTCTATGTAGCCATGGATGTCCTGGGACTTACTCTGGCCTTGAACTCAGGGATCTGCCAGCCTCTGCCTTCCAAATATTAGCATTAAAGATGGGCACCACCACACCAGCCTTGGCACATTTCTTTTGAAAAATTTATTTATTTATTTATTTATTTTTATTTACTCTGTGTGTGTGTGCGTGTGCACGCACGCATGGGATCTCAATAACTTTCCCTGAAGGAAGACATTTTAAAGGTAAAACTAGGACTTGAATTCCAGAAATGCACCCCAGAGTTTGAACTTAATTACAACAATACACACCTTGCCATGGTGGGGATATTGGTCTTACATTCAACCTGGGTCCCACCTCTTCTGAGAGTTGTCCCTTGGGACCATATAATGGAAGGACAGAAATGACTCCTGCAAGTTGTCCTCTGACCAGCACAAGTGAATATTGGCATGCATGTCACCCCCTCAAAAGAGATCAATCACTCACTGGAATAAATAAATAGTTTTAATGTGTGCATGTGTTTCTTTGTATCTGTACACATGTGTATGCAGGTGCCCATGGAGGTGTCAGATCCCTTGGAGCTGAAGTTACAGGCGTTTATATATACTGATCATACTATAAATTTGTGTTTCACTTTTTAAGGAATTCCAAAACTGATCTCCAAAGTGGCTGTCCATTTTACATTGACACCAGCAATGCATAAGAATTCCCATTACTCTTTAATCATCACTAGCACCCCGGCTTATCAGTTTAAGTATCTCATTGTCTTTCTAGCTATTCCTGCAGTTTTAGTAAGGGGTGACCTTAGCAATGCACTCAAAGCTATTTCCCATTGTTCCCTTTTCCTTTATAGTAGTAAATAGCAATATCCACACTCACAGGCTACTCCTCCACAGCATATATGCCTGTTATGACTATGATAAACATATGACTGGCCCATATGAGTTCTGAGCATCAGAATATAGATGCCCACTTGCTTCCCAATGGAACTCCCTGCTGTTACAATTTAAGTGAACACCAAGCTGGGTGGTGCATGCCTTTAATCCCAGCATTGGGAGGCAGAGGCAGGCAGATCTCTATGAGTTCGAGGCCAGCCTTGTCTACAAAGCTACACAGAGAAACTCTGTCTCTAAAAACAAACAACAAAAAATTAAGTGAATGCCCCTGTTACTTAGATATTCCAAATGAAGGCTCTGTTATGGGCTGAAGAGGGTCATAACTGACACCTGAATGCAAATTGATAAGCATCAAGCAACTGCCTAAGATAATTAGCCAATTTGCTGAGTACATAATCAACAATTAAATCAAACAAATTTTATGCTGTAGGGATGCCTAGTAAAGAGTAAATCTATTTTAATTTACTTCATAAATTGTGATAGATAGTTCATGTCAATCTTCCCTTCTAATTTATTGAGTTGTCCTTCCAAAGACTGGTACAGGGCAACAGTGTTTACGGGTTTAAGATACCAAGTCAGGAGGAAGCCCTCTGGCTTCCCATTCCATCAATAGTTGATTTGCTCTGGCTGTGGTAAAGAGCCATCCAGGAACTGGACAGGACCATAATCAATTGAAACATTTCTTCTATGGACATGACATAGGAATCACTAAAGCAAGCTGGGGTTTGAGAATAATTTCATGCAGAAGAAGAAATCCAAAAGGAAAACAAAGTAATATTCTAAAAGAACTTGTTTCACATCTATTCAATTAAAGAGTAAGCTAAGATTTGATATAATTTAAGATATTTAAAGATAACATTTTAAAGGACATTGGGGTTTTGTTTCTTTCTTGAGTTCTTCCAGACAGTCCAGCAAATGTATAAGAATTCTTAAAGGTTTTGACTTGTAAAATACTGAGTAGCTTGTAATGGCATCTTTCTTCCTGATTCCAGTTGCCAATACGGACACTTGGATGTTAATTCTAGAAAAGCTGTGAGCTCAAAAGGAGCTGTGTGGTGTATAAACTACTGAGCTCCCTCCAAAGTTCTTCCTCAGAAAAAGAAGACATCTATGGTACCATAGCATTTACCTTCGTTCAGCTAGTTTATGTCAATGCGACACAAGCTAGTAGTTGGTAAAGAGGGATCTCAATTGAGAAAATGCCCCCGTTAGTTGCTCTGTGGACAAGGCCTGGTACTTTCTTAACTTGCAATTAATATGTGAGGGCCCAGTCCATTGTGTGTGGGGTCAGCCCTGAGTTGCTGTTGGTGTTTGGTACCATGGGGAGCAAGCCAGCAAGCAGCATTCCCCCGTGGCCTCAACTTTGGTTCCTGCCCTGAGTTCCCAGGATGATAGGGAACTGTAAGGTGAAATAAACCTTTAATCCCCAGTTGCTTTTGGTTCTGGTGTTCCATCAGAGCAATAACTAACTAACTAACTAACTAACTAACTAACTAACTAATTAACTAACTAAGACAGTGTCTACCCAGCAAATAACAGCGCTTCTAGGTGAATATGGCATTGTGTCTTGGCTACTCAAACTTTACTGATTTTGGTATATTGATTTTAAAAAATTTATTATTTTATTAATTATTAAAATTAAGCTTAGAACTATATTTACCAAAGAAGAAAGAACTCTGTGGTTCCATGTAAAAATTTAATGCGCTTTAAAAAAAGCAGTATTTGGAAAATATTATATATTTTATTTAGCTATGTTGATTTTTAGGATACAGTTTCAAAAATCATGTATATTTTTATTACTTAAGTATTGGCAAAAAATACTAAAACACAACTGGTCGCAGCAATTGGAATAATTTATAAAAGGAAAAGGTAGGCTGTAAATAACTGGAAGCATGCACCTAACAATAGCTTCTGTATTAGATACTGGTGATGTTTTGGAGAGGAGGCAGCAGATTCCTGAAGCTAAAATGACTCTCCTGGGACAATGCAGCTGGGGCATACCAGCTGTGAGCCCTGGAGAGCCCACTGCAGGCCACTGTTCCTCCACCTGTGAAGGGCCAGCTAGTTAGGGAACAGGAGCCTTGCTTGGGAGTGTGAGAGCTGATGAGGAGTTTTGACAGAGCTGTCAATCTCTAGAGTAGATCCATCCACTCAGACACCCTGCTTTCATTTCTGTCCTAATAAGAAGTATTAAGTACTTTTTCTAGTTCAGGTATTATTCTCTACAGGCCCTAAAGTCTTTAAAACTTCAGATTTTAAGAATACCACAGTACTTTTGGGTAACTGGTATCATGTGTGGACACATTTCAGATGGAACTGTGGTCAGAATGTGCCTGATAGAGTCCATTCTGGTGCTATAGTACTCCAAAGTTACTTTTCTTGGTGTTGTGCCTTTGTATAATAAAATTCTCTGTGTGCTCACTACTTGCCTGAAGCTTCTTAAAGGAGCTGTACGTTCCCTGTATCTGATTCACAGAATCACGTTTTTGCCCTTTTGGTGCCGGGAGCCAGGTGCAGATAGGCTGAGAGCATGGGGAGTAAGCACACGGGGAAAGGCAGGGATGGTCCTCGATAGCCAGAGGATCCACATCTGGCTCACACATGAGATGGAAAACAAGGAGGACAGGACTCAGGCTGACCCCTCATGCTGGCTCCCACACACAGGTTTCATTGGACTGTTTGAGTTAGTTGGCACTTCCAGGGTGTTCCATATATTCAACAAAGAGACACTGAAATGGCAGCACCTGGGAGATGGTTTGTGATTTTTTTTTTCCACTCGGCTGGTTCTTGTACCTTGTATGTGCTATCTTTACCGTGTCTTAGATTCTGGAATAAAACACCTTTCCTTAATTCCATGATGATATAAAAGCAACGATGGACAGCAAGTATCTTGAAACATGAAAGAAAATGCAAAGTGTGATCATCAAGTTGGGAAACAGACTGTATAACAATAATAAAATTTATGCAGAGAAATTCATGTGGGAAAAAAATTCTCTCCAGGATGATGGAGACTGTTTGGTCCATATACATGTGCTCTGCACAGGCTTGGCAAAGTCAAGGCGAACTATCTGAGGGGTGAGAGAGATGTGGGGGTGGGGTGCTTGTGCTGTTAGAGGTAAGTCCAAACACAGGCAGGAGACTACAGCATCACAAACAACGGAGGACACAGTCCAGGCTCAGCAGGGACACATGGGGAAATAGGAGCTGTATTTTACATGCAGAGTAGAGAAGGAGAGGTTATGTGCAGCTGGGATAATGAGGTGGGAGATCAGGAGGTGGAGAGAAGGGGTTGATGCTCAGAAGGCACCAAGTAGAGAAAGCGGCCCTGGGCTGAAGTCTTCTCATGCTCTCTGACAGATGCTAATTTGGGCCATCCTGGCAAACGACAGAAGACACTGGAAAGCCACAGAGTGCCTTAGACAGTGGAATAGGAGAATTCAGCAGTAATGAAATGGAACACACTGACTGACCCTTCATAGTAAGGGGCTGTATCTGTGCAGATGAGGCTGAGTTAAGCTGGCCCCTGTTTTTCAGGTGTAGACTCATAGTGACAATACAGTTTGATGAAAGTGAACAGAGCTTGGGGAAAGTGAGATGAGGCGAGGGAGCAACAGAGGAAGGCTGCACAGAAAAGGGCTGGTTGGTGGTCCAGATCCCACAGGATGCTGCTGCTCAGGGAAAAGGTATTCCAGCATGTACGCTGTACAGAGAAGACTGTAAAACTGGTAAGTACTCTCCTCTCTGCCTTCTATCCACTTTGAACAGTCACCAAGACACAGATTTTCATGAGGAACCTGACAGGGAAGACCATCAGATCCGAGGCTCAGCCCTAAGACACTGGAGAAAATGTATAGGCCAGGGTAGGGACTCCTCCTCCTCCTCCTCCTTTCTTTACTGATGAGCAGCTGTAAGATGGGCAGACTTGGACTACAGTGTCCCAAAGGAGTCTGCCCTTAATTTTAAGTTGAGACTTCGTGGTGGTGCTGAGAAAAAAAAAGTCTTACACCACTTCGAGAAGAATAAGCAAGGTTAAGTCCTGAAATACTGTAAGGTGGAAAAAAGTGGTAAAATTAGTCTCTTTGATGAAGAGTGCCTTTCTGATGAATGTGGTATTGGAAATGTCACGGCCAGCCACACTGACAGAGGTTACTGTGGCATGTATTGTGTTCATCAAAACAGAAGATGAGTAATGTGTGAGTTAATAAGACAACAGAAAAGGAAAAAAAGATAAGAACTGATAAGCAAGAATATTTTTACATGTATTTGGGGAAAAAAGATAGAATGGTGGTTCAAGAGAGTCGAGCTAAGCTGCTTCCTATTGGCTTTCAGGTTACACTGAATGTTCAGAAGAAAGCTCCAGAACTATGCTTTGAAGGTGACTTGTATGGGAACCTCTCAGTATCACAGTAATGTTTAAAAGGTTGGTGTTTGACGTTCTAGGTTGAAACATTTGCTTTTCAAATTTCCCTTGTGAGACAAAAGTTCTCCTTAATATTTACTAGGGTTTAGTGAAAGGAAGAAAACACACATGCACATGCACACTCATACACACACAGAGGAAAGGATGGCATATGAAGGAATCATGAGATCAGTCACAGGACAAACCTGTGATTGGGGGCATCCTCTCACCCAAATGAGTCCTCAAGAACCAGGGCAGCCACAAAATCCGGGGCAGGGAACAAAAGGCTGCTTTCAAGCTTCACTAAGTACTTTAGTTTTCATACATATAGCTTTCTCTGGCTCTCTTTCTCATCTAGTTCTTTTATGTTCTTGCCCTGCTCATCAAGCTTCTCTGATCTGGTAGAGTCTATGTAGCTTCACCTAGGACTATTGGATCCTGATGTACTCTAAGTACTGTTTTGTGTTTCAGACAATACCTTGGTAGGCTCTTGTCACTCTTTCACCACTAGGGTGAGTCAGAAAGAGTGCTAGAGACTCCACTCTTAGATTTCATTCAGGTCCGTTCAGTCAGTGTTAGACTGATGAAAGCTTAAGGTGTGGTTAGTACTATTTCAAAAATCAAAGCCACCCACTCCAGGTCATCCAACCTGAGAGCTTTGTACTTAAGGGGGATTTCCTTTAATTTATGACATATTTTACTGTCAGAACCATGCTCTTGTGAGACCAAAATTTGTCATGAATCATTCGAAAGAATAAATTGAGAAGCTTTTTACTGGATGAAAGAGATCCTTTAGTTTTAGGTCTTGTCCGTATTACATTTCTTCAATGCCAAGGGTACTATTTAAAGACAAAGAGAAGACCACTATAGCATACCTCTGGATTTCACCATTGATTGGGAGTATTTTGATGCTTGGGATCATAGCTATTGTATATAGGACCTAAACTTGCATATCTATTGATGTTTTGCCCAATTCCATACATTGACTTCATGTTCCAAAATATTTCAGTTCCAGCTAATGTCAAGACCTCTGTCTGTGTCTGTGAGGTTTCGTTTCCAGGACATTTGTGAACAAGTTCATCTTGATTCCCTTAGCTTTTCTCAGAGTAGGATAGACTCTGGCTCTGCTTGGAATAAGAAGTTTGGTGGCTGCTGTGAATTGGGGGCGTGTGGCTTTCCACACATTCTTTTCAGCTGTGCTCCTGAATTCTCAAGTATGCATTCAGACGCAAGAGATGCATGCACATATACCTGCAAAGGGGGTCCCTTCTGTTTAGATGCTAGTTGAGACTGACATGAGTTGTCAGGTCATAACAGTGGAGTGGCACCTGTTCCGTCAGTAGTAGTGAGGTTTCATTCCAGGGGAGGCAAGTATGGTGTGGAAAGCTCTGGAAGTGTTTCTGGGTGCTTAAGAGAGACTGGAAATATTTCTGATAGCTACTGTGGGCAGAGTTGAAAAGTGGCTACCTAGCTGTATACCTTTGAAATTCAAGGTGAGTGTGAGAGCAATTTTACATCAAGTGCTAATGATTTCTAACTAATGTATTACCTTTCTGACAACTTAGAACTTAGCTTTGCTGGCAGAAACAGGTTTTTTTTTTTAAATTTTCTTAATTTTTTATTAGATTGTGAGAAGAGAGGCAACCTTCACTTTTCTCTCTAGAGATAATAGCAATAATTATGAACAGGCTGAAACAGACAGAAGTAGGGTTTAAGGAGCCAAAAGAGGCTGGCCATAGGTGCACACCTTGATTCCAGTGGAGGAAGCTGGTTTACACAGCAAGTTCCAAGGTAGGCAGGCCTACATAGACAAGTAAGGGTTAGAGAAGCCTTCCTCCTTTGAAAGCAGAGAATCAAACAATCAAATGGACCCTTGCAAATAGCAAAAGGTGACTGTGGGTGGGAAAGTCTTTAACTTAAAGATGGGTCTATTAGGGATCTCTTCTGGACTTAGGGTCCAGCTAGGAACAATGGCTCCACTAGTCATGATTACACATCTAGTGCAGAGAAAGACATAGGGCATAGTTTCCATGGCGTGTGTTTTCAGGTGACAGCTACTTCTCTCTCAATACTATTATATTCCTTTCATTTTTTGTCTCATGACATCCACCATGGAGTGGCTACATATCTGAATAAGTCTTTGAGGAAAGAAGAGGCCATGATGACTGTCTTGTCTACCCACATGTTAGCTTCCAGGTATACTGTCTGACATATGGTTGATGACCTAAAAGTATTTCCAGTAAATATTTTTAATATTAATTGAGCAAGCAAGTTGGTTTCTATGCATAGCCTCTGAGTGCTGCTGAAATGGGAAGGCATAGGTGATGCTGAGGTCTCTGGAGGGACTTTTCTGTGTTGCTGTAGCAAATGATGATACTGGTGCTTCATTGTTTCCATTCCTTTCCTCCCCACCTCCCAACTTCTTTATATCCTACAGTCTCCCAACAACATATAAAGCCTTATCCCAAGTGTTTTTGTTTGAATTTTTATTGCTGTGAAAAGACATCATGACCATGACAATTTTTGTAAGGAAACCATTTAATTGGGATAGCTTGCTTATAGTTCAGAGATTCAATTTGTACTATCATGGTGGGTAGCATAGTGGCATGCAGGCAGACTTCGTACTGGAGCTGAGAGTCCTACATCTTGCAGGCAACAGGAAGTTGACTGTCACACTAAGGGATGCTTGAGCAAAGGAGACCTCAAAGCCCACCCCCACAATGACACACTTCCTCCAACTAGGCCACACCTCCTAATAGTGCCACTCCCTTTGGGAGCCATTTTCTCTCGAACTGCCACACCTAGCTACACACTGGCTGCTAGCCTTCACATTCCTTTCCACCATCGGACGTTTATCAGTGTTCACCCAACCCTTAAAACTGGCTCTTAGCCCTGCTCAATTTGGACTCCAAGTGTTTAAAACAGAACTGACCCACACTTTAAAATGTGCTCTACCTGGTATCTTCTCTGCAGCATTTGATGCCTGCCTGGGTCCTACTGTTTTGTCATTCTTGTGCTAGGTAGCCTCACTCCAGATTCCTCCACTACTCATCCATCATTGCTTTGTCCCTTCCTCTCCTTTTTAAGAGCTGGCATTTTCCAGATTGTTCCCGGATCTTGCTCCTTTTTCTGTTCTTTGGGCTATTTCTAGGTGTCTCCTTTATTTTTCAGTTACTGTAAATGACCTAGACTCCTAATGTCAGCTGATGTCCAGTAGGTGTGCTCAATAATGCTTGCTTGGACTTCACTATTGTCCCCTAAATAGTTTATGATGGAAATTTCATCATTTCAATTGAACTTTCATGCCACTATCAGGAAGGAATTGTGCTGTTTTTTCCCCATAAGAAAATAAATCTGATAGTGGCATGAAAGTTGAAAAACACCCACCTCTTACAGTTCCCAGGGTGGCATCTTCACTGCTAACAGCAGTAGAGGAGGCACCACCTCAGCAATGTTTGTAACTGGATTGTAGTTTGCTGTATGCCAGACACAATTCTAACCCTCTAACCCTTACACACGTTCTTTGTGATAGAGTCTGGTATCCCAAACCCATTTGCAAATGGGAAAATTTGAGCAGGAAGTTAGCATGTTACATCTTCAAGATCACAAAGAGATACAACTTATGCTTTCTGGTTTGATTATACACCCCACACACAAGTGTTTCCAGCCTGTTCTATGCTCACTGGTCCCTGAGAATACCTTCTTTCCTTTTGTGCTTACTGTTCCAACTTCCTGTAGTGTTGCTAATTCATTTTCCTCATCTGTTCTTATGCCTCCTACTGTTGCAGGACCTTCTTTGCTTTTTGGAGAAAGGCTCTACTTATATAAGTCCATGTCTCATACAATAAACACCTTGATAAGAAAGCATATCTTCGTTTCTTGGCTAGCATTTAGTTCAGTCTTGCTATAGATTATCAAAAATGCTTATTGAAGGGACTAGCCAGCCCAAATATCCATGAAGATCACAGACCACATTTTTCTTTTTTCCATGCTACATGCTTGATGTCTGGCATAAACACATGGGGAAAAGCTCAGTTGGTATTTGATTGGAAAAGCACACTGCCATCAGAGTTTTAGTGAAATTATTGAATAGAACTGCCTATCTTTCATTTGTATTTAGCTGTTGAAGTAGAGCTTCAGCTTGGGATTACTTGTATTTAACAATTTTTCCATTTATAGTTAAGCATAAGTAGTCTGGGTTTCTTTTTGACTCTACTTAAAAAAAACCAGAAAGTATATTGGGTCTAGATTAAGAATGAAACATTATAACTGACTTTTGGTCACAGTGTCTGTTATAATGTAATATGCTCCTGGTTTTATGTTAGAGAGATATTCATATTATCACTTATATTTGCTAAGAGTGGGAAATAAATCTACATGTCATTTTATAAGTATTGATACATTGGGTTTAGTGAAACTATTAAATATTTCATAACGCAAAATCTACTTTATATTAACAGCAAAGAAGAGAAAGGAGGAGAGGAGAAGTGAATTTGGACCTTGGTCTGGGACCCTTACCTGCTGGCCTGGCTTGATGGGGGATAGGGTGATACCCTGGGTGTTGATCACAGGCAAGATCTGGTTTCCGATGACTGTGGCAATGATCTGTCCCTGGGCATTGGTTAGGAGCTGGGGCGTGATAGGCTGTACTTGAAGGCCCTGAGTGCCACTCGCTGCTTGAGTTGTTGGCCCTGGATTAGGCATCAGTGGAATGGTCCCAATAATCTGCAAGAGATAGGCCTGAAGGTGAGGAGCCAGCTGAATTCTGGGTCTGCTTTCATAAATGAAGACTGCATTGTGCTTTTGTCATGAAGAATGTTATCAGGAGCTCATTCAGGATTTCTAAGCAGGTCAGGACTTAAGGTCATGGAGTACATACTAGGGCATGAGCATTTAAAGAAGAAAAAGCTACACATGCACTGACTTTACCAAGGGAAGGGAAAACTATGTTATTTAAAAATAGAATCAAGAACAGATAAAGGTGTAAACATGCAGTTTCTGCCAGGAGAAGCAGGAGAAATAAATTTCTTAGTACTTAAGGTCTTGGGGCACTGCATCCCCCCTCTCCCAGATCTCTACATTCCCTGCTGATCCCAGGGGATCTCTTTTCCACAGTCTTCCCCCTATATCCTCTATCCTTTTCTCTGTCCCTGTACTGCTATTCTACTCACTGTTAATGTCAAGATCAGCTTCCTGACCACTGCATTCTGTAAGTGTAACAGCCTTAACCAAGTATACTGCCATGTATGTGTTTGAGAGACTAGACTCTGGAGACAGGAAGATGGCATGTCATCAAGCACAGGCCACCAACCAGCCACATTTGTCATGGCACTTTAGCCTCTCAAAAGCGTCAGAGAGTTAGGTTAGTCAAGAAATGGTCGAAACTCTTCACACAGAGGTGATGTGACTACGAGAGAGATGAGATGTGCAGCTTAAATAAAGCGTGTTGTTAGGGGCTTGGCCTCTGTGCCAGGGACAGGACAGGGCCTTTGCCTCCAGTGGCTTCTGTCATCAGCAAAGGGGTTACATGGGATGACAGTAGGAGACAAGTGGTTAGATATGAATATGGTGACAGCAGACACCGTGTTCAGAAGCAACAAATGTCCAGTGTGTCTACAGAATCTGAAAATGGGGACTTTAGTATACATTGCCAGGGACAGGTTTAATTTTCAAAATCTCCAATTACAACCTGTTTCTAAATGTGGAACCTCAAGGGGTATCATGGGGCATGGGTGTGGGTCTACTTCTCCTGCTCATACTAAGCATTGCACTACAAGTTGTCACCAAAGGCTGTTCCCCAGTTGTAAGCCATGGTGACCTGGTTCATAACTTCATTATCATGTGACAATCTAGTTCATCCTGTCTTTTTAACTGGACCTCTCTGACCTGAAATGGGGATTAGCCAGGTCCCTACCCCATACATTAGATAAAAGAGGAACTCTGCGAAGTAATCTGGGGGAGGAGTTTGTAGGTGACAGAGCTGGAACTGTCCCTAAATGCTTGCTTTTCCATATTCCGACTGAGTCCCACCACCTGGAAGACACTGAACACTGGATGATGCAGGCCTCCAGCTCTTAGACAACGTTCCACATTGTATCTGCAATTTTCACTGGATGACAAACTCCTTGTGCACCCAGTCCACAAATGATAGTGTTTTCTACTGTACAGTACTCAAAAGACTTTGAGCACCATTTTTCAGCAAATGATTTTTTAGGGAATGGCTTTGGGGTTTAGGGACTCAAGATTCCTGATGTAAGTGGGACAGTAGGAGAACCACCAGACTACAGCACTTGGGAAGATAGTTTTGGAGAACCCCCTCCCCCTTCTGTCATTGCTTCTAACACAGCAGTCTTGTGGGATGGCAAAAATGCAGAAGCTGTGCAACTATTACGTATCAGTGGCATTTGTCAGTGGATGCTGATGAAGGTCAAGCAATTATTGTGGAAGTGGTCCAGCCATCCCTGATGGAGCTGTCAGGCTTGCAGGTATCCTGAACAAGCATGTAATGTCTGTCTTACAGGGACAGCAATGGACATGTCCCATCAGTGCAAGCAAGGTCAGGAGGAGTCCACATCAATAGATCATAATGTTTAAGTACTTTATTGATGAGTGGTCTTACATTAGACTAAAAGCCAGTTCCTGTGACCCCCACAGGCAGTGTAAGAGAGACATGGGATTAGCATCCTGTCCTAGTCTATACTGGATATAGATGGCCTGCACATGCACAGTGAAAACTCAGCAGCAGACCTGTCCACTCCAGCTACCCAGAGTGTCTTAGGCCTTTCCTTCCTGATTCATCTGATTGGCTGCAGAAGCTAGATGCACTTAAGTGCAGGTCTAAGGTTCTATTTTAGGCAGGATGTCAGTACATTTAGGAGCCTGTGGGAGTAAGTAACCTGAGAGAATGCCTCAGAGTGAGGCATGGCACATGACAGCTATGGAACACATTGTGATGAAAAGAGAGGCATCTGGCCCCCAGATGATTGACATGAGTATGCGCTGACTCTGTGGTAATGAGATGCACTGCTGGGTGAAAGAAGAAACAGAAAGGCAAACGCAGTCAGCTCACAAGCCTCTCCTCTAGGAACAGCCTCTCTCCCCAACACTGAGCTGCAGCTAAAACGCTTGTCACTGTCTTCTCCACCTCTCCTCTCTTTTTACCTGGGTATGAGCATCACTTATGGATTAGACAGCAGTAGTGTCAGAGGCAGAGGAATCTGAAATTTCCCAGTGGAAGACGATGTTTAATAGAGTTTGGCTGTGAGATTAAGGATGGGGCCTGGATGCCTGTAAAATCAGGAAGGCTTTGGTGAAGTTACGCATTGCTTTCTTGTTGTCTTCCTTTCAGAGGCATGGGTGTCACATCAGCATGCCAAACACTTGTCGGTGCATGTTGGGAACTTTGTAATAGCCTCCAAGGTATCAAAATACCCTGGTATTAATTTATTCATTAGTTAAGTGGTAGAGATGATCATACTCTATATTATTTAAAAATTCTCTAATGAATTATTATGCTCAGTCTGGCTCTGATTCCTCTTAGCATTTCCACACATGTAATCAGAACACCTCCAATAGGTAGGGTTCACAGAGGCTTCCACAATGGGATAGTAGGAGCCAAGTCACAAACTCCTGAGGCTTTGCATTCTCCTAACCACTGTTCAGTTACTGATGGAAATTTTGTTTCAAATGAAAGGCCCTGTGAAATTCAAGGGAAATACCTTTATCTATACTTATTTCAATTAAATCAGAATTAAAACAGAATCTGGCAACGTTATCGAGAGTTTCTGGTTTGGGGATGAAGTCTTCTAAGGGAATTTGAATATCCAGCCTACAAAAGCTGAGAATTTGCAGCTGAGAAGTCCTGATGAAAGGTTACATTGCTACACAAATGAGGCAAACAGAATCTGATTCCTGGTCACCCCATCCAATATTTGGAACTAATCCATACTTCCTTAAATTATAAAGGATTCAGGAAGAGCAGTTGAATAGCTGCTGACTCTTTTCTCTATTAGTACTTAGTTATGGGCTATAGATGGTTCTGAATAGGTGTGGCTGGGACAGGGCAGGGTTAATAGTGATCTCAAATGCAAAGATTCTGCAGTCAAATGAAGAAATGGGCACTAAGTGAACAGGTAAGAGTTTTGTGATAAAATGTCTCTGTATGGTTCAAGATCATTGGGGTTGAATGAATTGGAGGAAGGTGGTCTGGATCAGGAATACTCTACAGAAGATGCAGGGGGTAAGTGAAGTTTAGGATTAGATAAAACCTAGTAGAAACTAGTGTAAAGTTAAGAGGCATGAGGATGGTGAGTTGATTGGTTTGGAGGCAAGAGGAGGTTGAGACATGTCAACCTGGAAAGGTTAAGGTTAAGTTCCATCCAGCCAAAGACTTACAGTAATTTTTTGGGGGGTGGGACCCTTATGAGTCAGGGTCTCAGTTTGTATAGGCTGGCCTTGTACTTGGTATTTAGCCCAGGCTTACTTTGAACCTGATCCTCTTTCCTTAACCTCCTGAGTACCGGTATTACTGTGGGCCATCATTCCTGATGATAAATATGTTTTGTTAGGGGCTGGGGATGAGGGCTCATATGGAGCCATTTCGGGTGTGAATGCGGCAGTGTGGGCAGAATATTCTCAAGTGGTGGAAGACTACAGACCAGATCAGTTGTTAGGACACTACTGAAGTCATCCAAGTATGAAGCAAAATGCCTCAATGAATCCTTAGCACAGAGGATGCTTGATTCATTGGCTTCCACTTCAAATCACAAAGCGCAGTCTACTTCATGTCTAGCTTGCAACATTAGAAATTTTTGAGTGAAGTTATTGCCCCATCAATCCCACAGCAAATAGCTCAGGCATCGTTTGCAATGATCTTCTGTGTCATTGCCCTGACTCTACCTGTAATGATTCATCTCTGATGAATGCTTTAACCAGGCTGAGGCCCATACTGGTATTATAATGATAATTTGTGACTTGAAAGAGTTCCTGTTTCTCTAACAGGAATCTTACTTGGTTGTTGCTGTTCATGTCTGCCTGACTATTTCATTGATTGGGCTGAGGGTATTAGTTACAACTGAGGAGTAAGGTTTATATACAAGAACAACTAAAAAAGAGAAAAACCATTCAAATGAATAGAGTTAATTGGCACACATATTTAAAAGACTAAGACTTCTGTTTCAATCATACTTTGAGTGGCTTGCATCCAATTGGGACTACCATTAATTCAGTAGCAACCCATGCCATCATGAAGATTATTTTGTGATGGTGGCAAATCTAGCAGTTAAAGGCCATGTAGCTGCTCGGGTTGTTGTTTTAACACCCTCCTGAACCTCAGTCTAACAGGTATTCACTAGAATGAATTAAGTCTGAATTAGGGAAGTGTGTGAATGAATGCATTCACTGTTAACAAGCAGATGATATCAGCTGCAGTCTTAGGCTGGTGTCAGTGAGGCCCAGGCACCCAGACAAGTCAACTGATGGGCCACATGTTATACCAGTTTCTGATATGCAGTTAAACTCTGCCAAAGGAATGTAATGGCAGATGTCACACTGACAAGTAATTTTGTTGCCATACTTTTAAAAAAGGAAGCCTGTCAATGCTGTACTCAGTGACTTCCTCAGATCTGTCAGTGCATTAGCAGAGACACCCCCTTTCCATATACTTTTGACACCCCAGCAGTGTTTGGCCAAGTAGGTTTTGTGAATAGTAGCATCGCTTTGTCCAC